TAGAGCTTCATTCATAATTGGAGCCGATCCCCTTAAACTCTGCCACTGCTTTATCAACAATATTTATGCAATATTCCAAGTCCTTTGTTATCATTTTGACAGTCTTCACAGCATCATCCTCACTTGGAGTAGATTCAGCAGTAAGGCTGTTTCACTTTCTTATCATTTGTATGTTCACTAAAGGACTAGCACTTTGAATTATTTCAAGAATGTTTTCTTTGCATTCTCAACTTGGCTAACTGCTGCGAGATGTGGCCCATTTGGCTGTCTTGGTTTTTGACATGGCTTCCTCACGAAGCTTCGTCATTTCTAGTTTTTGATTTAAAGTCAAACATGTGTGACTCTTCCTTTCATTTGAATACTTTGAGGCCATTGTCGCATTATGAATTTGCCTAATTTCAGTATCGTGGTGTCTCAGGGAACAGGGAGGCCTGAGGAGAGGGAGAGAGACAGGGAAAGGGCATGTTGGTGGAGTGGTCAGAACACACTCAACATTTATCGATTAAGTTCAGTCTTATATGGATGAGTTTCCTGGTTTCCCTAAGCAATTATACCATAACAAATATAATAATGAAATAGTTTGAAATATTTCGAGAATTACCAAAATGTGATACAGAAGCATGAAGTGAGTAAACGCTGCTGGAAAAATGGATTCAATAGACTTGTTGTATGCAGGGTGCCATAGATCTTCAATTGTAAAAAATGTAATTATCTGTGAAGTGCAATAAACCAAAGCAGAATAAAATGGGTTATGCCTGTATTTAGAAAGCGGGGGTGGGGGGGTTAGTGAATTGAGGCTATTTTCATTCCTTTCCTTCAATCTTCTGGAAAACAAGGTGCCAGGCAAGTAAGACAATTAGAAAGCAAAGAGGGAGGTATGGCTTTCCATAGAACACATAATCAACCTCTACTGCATTGGCATTAGAAGCTGATTTTTCAAGTATGTATTTTAATTTAAAAAGATAGTTTGATTTTAAAAGATCTTAGAGTAGATATCATAAGGAAGCGCTTTTTGGTGAGGATCGCTGCGTCTTTACTTGGTGAATGGCTGGCTCTACAATGAAGTTCATGTTCAGTCTCAGTGTAAAGATTAGATATTCCACACAGAATCTCAGTAGTTATACTTGGTTACAGGGAATCAGAAAACTGATTTCATATTTACAAATCTGAATATCATGAGTTATTCAGGATACATTAAAAAAAGATATATGTTCGTGAAAAGTCAATGTGAATGTATTTTAACAGTTTATATAGGTAATAAATTAGGTCTTCTAATTCAATATCCTATAGGCTTTCAGCTTTTTCACGATTTCCCAGATTTAACATGAGTATTTGGGTTTTGTTCTTGTTAATGACTATTTATGAGTGTATGAAGTTTATAAGGAAACAGCCATTAATTGAGAAAGATTTGAAAATTCATTTTATAGACAAAAATATTTTTATATCCTTTAATTCCAATTAAATTAATTCCAATTAGATTAAAAGAATCTGATGAAAGTAAATGAGGTTTAGATACTGTAAATTATTATTTGAAACAGGATGAGTCCAGAATATAAGAAAAATAAATAAATTCAGTTTAGTTCAACATAATTTATTATAGACCCTTTTATGTGCAGACACTGTGCCTGACTCTGAAGTATGAATATAAACATGGGCAATAGTCTCACAAAAACATACACTTCTGTGAGGGAGAGAGAAACGGAGATTGTTTCAACCAATCATTCAGTACTATTTTTCTCTATATCGGTTTCTATAGCTGAGAAATACAGATATTAAATATATTTGCCTATATCACAAACTTGTGAGAATCACAAGGAAATGTATACATGGTTGGAAAATTAAGTTCCCGAACTTGTTGCAGTGATGTTGCTAAACTTTTTTGATACCAGAGGGATTATTCTTTATGAATTTGTACCAATTAGACAAACAGTTAACCAAGTTTGCTATTTGGAAGTGCTGAAAAGGCNTTTTTTGTAAGAATATTAAAACTATTCTATAATATTTAATCTTAACATTAATATAAAAATATAAGCTGTACCAAGTAGATCTATTACTCCCTATTGCCAAAGTAACTGGGTATAAGTAGTATATTGAGACAATTCTGTTGTGAGGATAATTGGATAATTTAACTTTACTAGTCAGAACTCCTTGAAGACAACTTACAATTTTCATAATAGAATTATTTAAATAACCCATTCATTCATTCACTTATTCATTCATTCAGTGTTTATAAATGTCCTTTTTTGCTCTAGGCATAACATTAGGCACTGAGGATAAAAAGCTCACTGACACAGCACCTTCCCTCTAGGCATTTGCAGTCTAGAAACAAAGATAACTGCATCATAGAATCTGAGAAACTTTGACCCAATCTCTCTAACTTCCCAGCTCTCTATGATAACTGCTTTACACAGCCTAAGTCAGACTCTAGAAACTATAGGGTGTTTGGTGGATGAGAAAGTTTGGACATTGTGAGTGAATTTAAGTTAGGCACATTCACTATGAATGCACTCTCTCCTTCCAAAAAATGTTGTTGAGAAAACTTAAATAAACTCATTCCCTAAGAGAGGCCAGAAAAATACTGATTCTAAAAAATTAAAGTTAAGGAAAATAATAGATTAATCTATTGAAGCCAGAAGTAAAATTACTGGCATAAATGGATTCCTTTACAATTGCTAGAGATGGCTAACAAATCAGCCTCTTCAGTTTCTTTGCAGCCAAAGCAAAAAGAGAAATATAATTAGTTACAATTTTATATTTTCCATATATAGCTTTTTCTGGCACTGAGCCCTGAAAGAAATTTCTCCCATGGGTCCTTGTGTAAAGAGGTCGCTGTATGATGTACTACTTTCAGATACTATATCCTGGGAGGTATAACAGCGTGTTTCCTAAGGCATCCTTCATTTAAACCAAAGGCACAATGCCAAACCTCAATTCAGCAAGAGCTTCAGAGAGGGACAAAGACACAGTGATCTAAAAATGCATATAGCTCTCTGATGGTTTGGCTTGATTAAGAGATACAATTTAGAATACTTAGAGGGACAGATAATGTTCCTAAAGGGAATTATTCATAAATGTATTTGTTCAATTCTTGATGAAAATTCGGCAACAGAAAGTTTGGGGTTATATTTTGTGCCATAAATCTGTAGTTAAGATATTCTTCATTGCTGATTAGAGATGGAATTATGTGCTTTAAGACAGTCAGCTAAGCAGAAGGTAAAAGAGACCACTTTGGGAAATTAAGTGGTCTAAACCAGAATTTATTTATACTAGAAAGATGCATGAAGGTGGTTTAAGAAGTCCCTGTAGAATAACTAACTTTCTCTCATTAAAACCAAAACAAAACAAAACAAAACAAAACAACAACAAAAAATTGGTTTATAGACTTTTACCCTGAAACTATTACACCATAGAATATGACTGTAATAGTTAAATGATTTGATTATTTTTCCAGACTGATAAAAAGCAGTCACCCACTGTGGTTATCAAAACATGTCTAATTTTATGCGTTGTGATTTTTCTGGTGAACCTTCCAGACTTCTATTAGCAAAACATATCAATAAGTCAATAAATCTCTGGTATATTGTACAGGCTTGTTGGATTATTTCTACTTGATTAAAACTAGTCTGATAAATTAATTCCTCTCTCTGGCCTGGGACTATTTATAGTTGAGAATATTTGGTCTATGTTTAGTTCTTTCTCAATGAACTTGAACTCACATAATTTTCTTGAATTGTCTCCTTTCCCCCTTCCCTCCCTTCCCACTTTCTTTTCTATCTTCCTTCTATAATTTTTCATCTTAGATTTTTTTTTAATAGGGGAGATATTTTTTGTGGTTTGTTCACTTCATTCTCTGAGGGAGGTCTCAGAAACAGATTATGGTATTGCGTTACTGAGTATATGTATTTCCACATAGGCTTTTCCACAGGTAGTTGTGGATCACAGAAAAGCAACATGGAGCCACAGAGTTATTGTTATCACGTGGACCCTGAGCCTACTGACCTTGCGATTAATTAATTAGATATGTACCTAGAGCCCTTGGCAACCAAAATGCACATGTATTGAGACTTCTGAGAACCATACACATCACTCTAATATGTGAAACTGTCCATAAAACACAATAAAACTAATCTACGGTGACACACTAGGCTATCGGCTTAGTTCACTTGCTTGTTGAGTGATTTATCTCTTTATGGCAGCCCCTAAATGAGCCCAATTCAGTATATCAGTGAAATTACTAATGGTTGAAATTCTTCTGCCTTTAGATTTACTTGAAAAGAGTTGAAACCTCTGATATAAACCTATAACTGCGTAAAGTAGGTTTTACTGAAAGTAGAGGAGGAATTATACATTTCATCAATTAAATTAGTATCCCAAATGAATATTACACATTAAAACTTTCTGAGGTCAAATTGTGTAATAAGAGGGCAGACACTCATTCTGGAAATAGAAACTTCATTAAAATTTCTGGAATGTCTACTTACTATCTAGGGATTCATTTCTTAACTATTCTCGGTATGATTTTCCTTATCCATAAAATGGAACTCAGTGTCACAAGATGGTTGTGAGAATCAACAGATATGCCTGTTAAGTTTTATATGCTTATAAAAGTACACTATTTCACAGAGAGTTAAAACAGCATGTGTGTATTTCCCATTAGCTTGACCTTATTTTTTAAGACAAAAATCTGAGTTTGCAGCATATATTTCCCCCTTCAAATCCAGTGCAAGGTGACTATTACAATTTAAGTGGCTACCATTATGCTTAAGATGTATATTTAATTGCAGGTCTATCGATAGACTATGTGGAAAACAAGCTTTATTGGATCAGTTCTGGAAATGGAACCATAAATAGATGCAACCTAGATGGCGGTAATTTAGAAGTAATAGAGTCAATGAAAGAAGAATTAACAAAAGCTACAGCCCTAACCATCATGGGTAAGTGCAATAGCTCTATAGCTGGGATTCTTCGTATTGATTGGGGGTTGATTAATTATGACCTGTTAAAAGCTGAGAAGACTTACTGCTCCATTAACACCAGAAGCACATTTAAATTGCACATCTCTATGAGGTTTTTTTTTTGTTTTTTTTTTCTTCTTGACATTAGCAATCAAACTTGTAAGACTATCCAGATTAGGGACTTGGTGCTGTTTGCAATACTACCTTTACTTCTATTGATATTGGCTTACTGTGACGTGTTTTGTTTTATGATTATTTTCTGTGTTCTATCTACTGCAGTGCTCTAAAGTGTAAGGGCCATGTATATTTGTCACAATAACAATTCTGGCTTATCTCTGCTTATAAAGGATAGCTTGATACACTCAGATAATTGAAGAGACAAGGCCACAGGGTCCATTGACCAATGATAGAA